TTGAATCACCAGCCTTCTGGGTAGCAGTCAAATGCCTTAGGCACTATGCTAATGCCTATACAGGATCCAGATAATTAGCCTCCAGCACTGCATGACCCACCCATCAACTAACCGAAAGGAGCTCTGGTGGCATAGTGCCTAAGGCAGTTATTTGACTGCTAACCAGAAGGCTGGCGGTTCAAACCCATCAGTGAGGTTCAAACCCACCAGTGAATCCGTGGGAAGAAGACTAGGCAATCTAGTTCCGTAAACATTTACCACCTCAGAAACCCAAAGCGGGTCACTATGAGTCAGAATCCACTCAATGGCAGTGGGGTTGGTTTTTAGTTTTAGAATGAGAAATGCTCAAGCATCAACTGAGGTCTCTGACCCTGGGGGTATTTGGTTTCTTCCAGTTTTAACCTAAACCTCTAAATGTTATGACTCATAGGAAGATGGCGTAATAGTTAAGAGCAGGATCCTGGGTCTGTGTCTTTGAGCCTTCTCTGGGCCTTCATATTTAATAATAATAATAATAGTTTGTTCATTGGGTTGTTTGAGGTAATACAGGTAAAATATTTAGCAAAGTATCTGGCACACAGAGCATTCAATAAATGTTTTCTTTTGTTATTATTATTACTATATTACAAAGCAAGAAAAGAGCAATTTGCAGAAAAAACGAGACTGTGTGTTTATAGATGCACAGCAAACAACTGACGATTATACACCAAATTATTTACTGGGGTACAAAGAAAAATCAATATTTTATATACCTGAAACTTTCAAAAAAATTTTACGGCTGGCCTTTATCTTTTGTATGGTCTTAAAAGATAAGAATAATAAATAATAATAAACTTCCCGGCTAATTTTCTCTTTTTCTTTCCAAAATGTCACGGTCAATCTATATCTCCTATTTAAAAGGGGAACGGAGATGGCCAACGCCCTCAAACTACCTCATTCAGTGTACTGCCATGCCATAACAAGGGAGCTATATTTAGTTAAGAGGTTAGCCCTTGGCCTTCACAATAAAAAGGGATTTCATAGAGGCAGCAAGACTGCCCAAGCTTGTTTCTGGTCCGGGCATCACACCTCTTTAAAAAGCAGGGTTTTTTTTTTCCTGTACATTTGACTGGCCTGCTGTCAGATCTTGCCCCATATCTAAATTTTTGAGGTTACCTCAAGAAAATACCCTTTTAACTGGATCACCAGTTAAAGAGGCCCACTTCTTTATGAACAGAGTGAAAAGAAAAAGAAAGCAAAACAACAATGCAAATCTATTTAAAGAATTATAGAATTAGTCTATTATTTTGTTTTAAAGAAATTTGTTAATGTCTATGCCTCAAGCATAAGGAGCCCTGGTGGCCTAATGCATTTGACTGCTAACCAGAAGGCTGGCGTTTCAAATCCACCAGCCACTCACAGAAGAAAGATGGGGCAATCTACTTCCGTAATGACTTTCTGCCTCAGAAACCCAACGGGGGCCCCTATGAGACAGAATCAACTAGATGGCAGTGGATTTGGTTTGGTATGCCTCACGTATAGCGCTGGAGGAAGGTTATGAAGGCTGTTGCCTCAGTATGGGGCTTGCTCTAGCCTAATTTTACTTTGCCACTCTAGTTCAGCGTCTGCTCAGAGGCTTGAACATACCAAACCATTCCCAGAACGTACAATTGTATAAGTAACACAGAATGAGGATTCTACAAGTGGCCTTCCACTTCTGCCTGTTAGGGACTACTCTGAGCCACACCCAGAAATTATAAACTCTATTTCCTCTGTGCTGTGTATTTGTTCCTTTAGCTTCTTACCAACTGTCACATGCCTCAGAGGCAGCATTCACATTTAATTCATCTTGGTGTGTTCACAGCTTGACACAGGGCCTGACAGAGAGGTGGCTCAAAAAAATAAACTAATAGCAAGCCAGCTGAAAGAACTACCATATTCACCCTTTCCTTCTCCCTCAACCATGTTTGGATTTCTCCTCTTTCTCCCAGCCTCTTGCCTTCTTGTCCTCTTGGAATAGAAATGTCAGACAGACACTTCGTTAATGGCCGGTGAGTCTTTTTTAAAAAAAGTCTGAGGGTGTTCTTTTCTTTTCTTTTTTCTCCTTAAAGATGTGTAGAAGATAATCAACAAGATTGAGGACATAACCACCCCACCCTGCAAAAGTAAGAAATGCATTTCTTGAAGGGTGAACAACAAAGAAAGGTTTCTAGGGGAGCAGTGTGTGTGTGTGTGTGTGTGTGTGTGTGTGTGTGTAAGCGCATGCGAGCACGCATGGAAAACCTTATATAACACAAAACCAAACTCATTGCCATAGAGTAGATTCTGACTTATAGTGACCCCCATAGGGTTTCCAGGCTGTAAATTTTTACCAAGGTAGATTGCCTCATCTTTTTTCCTCAGAGAGGCTGGTGGGTTTGAACCACTGACCTTTTGGTTAACAGCCAAATGCCTTAATCATTACACTACCACAGCTCCTTTATATATATAGCACAAGGCACTTTTCTTTCTAATATCAGGTATGCAAAAGGCCTTCTTCAAATACATTGAGAATTCAGGCAGGGCAGTGAAAATAATGCAGCCACGTCTGGCCTCTCCCAGAAGAAAAAGTAAGAGGACCTCGATCGTAGAGTCGCGCCAGCCATCACCCCATACTGGGGGATGCCACCAGGGAACACCCATACTCAAGCACCCAAGCCCAGCTTTCCTGTATAGTGTGGCAGATACTAGGCAGAAAAATCAACAAAGCGAACACCATTTGGATGCCCTTTGACAACATCACCCTCAGAAGGCAGAGTCCACGTCCACACCCAGTCAACCCAGGCCTCAAGGGCGAGGCCCGCCCCATCCAGCCTCAGGATAGTGTTACACCACTTTCCAGTTCTTATTTTTAAAAGACGAGGGCGCTGCAACATACCTCCCCAACAAGAGCCTGATTGGGGCACAGAAATTAAATAAATACATAAATAAATAAATAAATTCCTTGCAGGAGGTTGACAAATCCCACCCCCCTACTCATCCCACCCACATCTCCTGATCCCTAAATCCCTTCAGGTCTCAGTTGGAGGTGTAGAAAGCCAAAGAGGATTCTCAGATTCCTGCGGCCTTCCCCAGCGATCAAGTTTGTACTGGTATGGACCCTGACTGAATTGCCAGGATAGGTGCTGGGCGTGGAGGGAGACTTTGCATCCTGGGAACTTGCACCCTGCGGCTCCCTATGTGCTGCCCGGGGTTCGGTGCCCCCGGTGGGGAAACGCCACTTACCCCACGACGGAAATCATCATGGCAGCCACCACCAGATAGTTGGTCTGGTAATAGAGCAGGTTGCTCACCACGCGATTGTTCCATTTGGAAATGTCCTTGAAATCCGGCCGAGAGAAGCGGTCGGAGCCCGGGAAGAAGTCGTCCCAGCTGCGGAGCGGGGCGATCTGCACATCCATGTCTCTCCGCTTCGCCTTGTTCGCCTTCGGAATCTGGTGGCGGCGACGGCGGCAACCGAGCAGGGACGCTGAGTTAAAGAAATGACAGAGGCTCTGGCCCGGTCGGCTTTGCGGTTGGCGGGCAGCCGAGCAATAGAAACTGGAAGCGGGCGGTTGGTTTTGCTCTTCTTTACTTCTTAATTGGCTCGAAGTGATTGGTTGAGGAGAAACAGGGGCAGCGAGAAGAGCAAAGAACGAACTGAAGAATAGAAATAACAGAAAGCAACCGGCGGAAATCCTCTATCTGAAGCGAAGTGGCAATGCCTTCTCTAGCAGTCCGAATAAAATCTGCCCCCTTTAAAATACTCTTTTGAGTATTAGCCTAGGGGTGTGTTCTCTGACATAGGAAAAAATGTTGGCAGCTGTTCAAATACCAATCTAAGTGAAACGGTACGGAAGGAGATTATAGTGTGACTGGAGGATGAGCTGGTTTTGAAAACTAACTTGTTACTAACCTTTGCACATCTGAATGGAATTCTCATGTTTCCTCTATTTCACCATGAGTCACGTTATGAGTGAAATCAGATTGGCAGAATGGGGAAGAGGGAGGTGCAGAAAGGAAGGGTTGGTTTGTTCTTTGCTTCTCTTTGTTCTCCATCTCTGTTCTCTAGGGAACTACTGTGCCATGCTGATAAAGTGGGCAGGGTGGTCACTTAAGCCCTAAGCTGGTCATGTTGTTTGCATTTTAAAGATAGTAATTGTCTGCAATTAGCTAATTGTTTTGCACCCAGTGTTTTTTGGACAGAAACATGGACTCCGTTTCACAAGAATAAGAAAGTTTTATTTCCATATTTGGCAACAACTTTCACTAAAATAGTGCAGTATTTTAATAAATTGATAGCTTTGTATCCCAGCCCAAAGAAGAACTGGTAAGGGTTGCATTACAGGCACATTTTCTTCTAAGGATCCCAAAGGGTCTTACCCCACCCCCACCCAGTTGAGGAGTTACTTTCAAATGTCTAAGAAAAAAAGTATTTTGGTTAATTGCCTGGTGTAGTAGGCAGAATTCTAAGATGACAGTATCTCTGAACTTGCAAGTGGTACTTTAAAAAACAAAACAAAACTGAATTCATTCTGCTCACATCAATTTAAAAAAAAACTTGGGAATTAGAAAGTATGCCTAATGCAAAGTCTAGAAGATACAATTTAATTTTTCCTTGAGGATTCAGAAAGCAATTAAGAACTTACAATGCCTCTAAGAAATCACTACTGGCACTGGTGGTTAGTAAGGTGTGATTATCGATGAATCAGTGCTGACAAGATATATCCTAGGTGCTGCCTTTGGAATAGAGTTTAAAATGTGAAAGTGTTCTTCAGCTCTTAGATTTTCCTGATTCTGGAAAAATGGGATAGTTTAAATTCAGAGAGAGCAAAATTAGAGTCCTAGCTCCTTTCGAATTCTGGTGGGGTGGCTTTGAGGAAGTTACTTCATCTCACCCAGCCTCGATTTTGTCATATGTAGTGGAGATAATAATAAGAACATCTGTCAAGTATAAGTGTTAAGTGAAACTATGTATATGAAGTGCTTAGTGAATAGTAAGTGCTCACAGTTAGGACATTACTGTTATTATCATTATTAATTATAGTCCAGCCGTGATTCATCTATAAGGTGTCAGTAGTGCTTTAACCTGATATGTTTTCTGTGCTCTTATAAAAATCATCCATTGCCTTTTCTCTAACTTGTTGCAATTTTATTGTTGCCATGATATCTGGTTACACATGATAGCCTTTCAACTGTTAAACAAGAACAACAACCAAAAAACTCGATACAAGGCCAAAAGGTATTTTGAAGAGTTGAAAAGCTCTGTGAAAGCTCTGTCAGGGTTACACAGTAAGAAGAAGGCAGCCCTGCCCAGTGTTCAAGGATTTTGCAATACAGTGGAGACAACTAGTTTAAACATGAGACAGAGTGAGGGGAATACTAAATAGGGATGCACCAGGCCTCGGTGGTCAGTTATAGGAAGTAGGATATGGAGGAAATCCCCTGGGATTGATAATTTCCAAAAACAGCATTGTGAGCTAGCTGAGTAACTGATCATAGTCAACACCAGGGTGGACAAATCCCAGTAGGGTCCCACACCTGTTAGATCAGTGAGCATGAGGAGCTGTGATCAAAAACATTTACCTTCTAATGACTAAGCACTGCATGACCAAAAGCTGTCAAGTGTGTATTTGTGTCAATATGATTACTCATTGATCCCAGATAATTGATACCCTGTAAACATCTCTTCAAGGAGCTCTGCTGGCATAGTGAATAAGGCATTTGGCTGCTAACCAGCAAGTCAGTGGTTCAAACCCACCAACTGCTCTACAGAAGGAAGATGAGGCAATCTACTTCCATATAGATTTAAAAAACCAAACCAAACCCACTGCCAATGAGTAGAATCCAACTCATAGCGACCCCTCCTTGGGTTTCCCAGGTGGTATCACTACAGAAGTGGATTGCCCAACCTTCCTTCCAAGGAGTGGCTGGTAGGTTTAAACTGCCAGCCTTCTAGTTAGCAGTCAAGTGCCTTAGGCACTGTGCCACCAGAGCTTCTGCCTTTGTCATAATACTGTTTTAAATAAAAATGAACATATATTGAGCCCTGATGTAATTCCAGTCACTGTTTGAAATACCATTTGAAGCAGATCTTTGTTACTATTCAATCAGTCCTATCAGATTCACTGTAGAAGCTTTCCTGGGGCTTTTGTACCCAGGTTTGTACCTGAACCTGAATATGCTTATATATCAACAATAGGAGAAAGTCTAGTATTTTGTGGTATGTTGCAATTGAAAAAGGAGCTCTGGTGGTGTTATGCCTAAGGCATTTGACTGCTAACCTGAAGGTTGGTGGTTCAAGCCCACCAGCCACTCCACAGAAGGAAGACTGGGTAATCTGCTTCCATAAAGATTTACCGCCTCAGAAACCCAAAGAGGGTCGCTATGAATTGGAATCAACTTGATGGCAGTGAGTTTGGAGGGTTTTTTTTTTTTTTTGTATTTGAAATGAAGTAAATCTGTTGGTTTCACTTGCCTGTCTCTGTCACTTTTGTTACTGGCAAGGGCAGTTATTTCTAAATAATCAGAGTCTATGGGACTGCCTGATGTCATCTAGCAAAATACCATCACTGTGAGTCAGGGTTGCAGTCCCAAGGCACACAGATGCAGGATCAGGTGCCTTTCCAGACCTCTTTTTGGGCCAGCTGTGTCCTATTCCTGGGCCTCGACTCTAACTTCTGTGAAAAGAGTGGGATTAGGCTAGGTGATCTGTAAACTGCCTGCTGGTGTTTACCATCTGAGGGAGCTGTGATGCTTGCGGCCAGTTATTGAAGGGTTATTTGGAAGCAGCATGGTTGGGGGCTCAGCCAATAAGAGCCTTTTTTGAGAAGCTAGGGTTTAATCTCTGTGGTTTCCATCTGAGTCTTCTGGGCAAGAAAATGGATTCTGGGTTGTTATTGAGACGTATGACCTGGAAGGAGGCTGACATCTCTTGCTATGGACTTGCTGACTGTGAACACTACCCCAGCATCTATTGCCTGGCACTGACTTTTCACCTCAATGAATGCTATTGTGTGGAACTTGATTAGAAATAATGTAGGAAAAGGCTTCCTGAAGGTTCAGTGGAGAATAGGACAAAAAGGAAATTAAATATAAAAATTTAGCAGCAGCAGTTATATTTACTGAATACCCACCAAGCTTTACATACCCTATTTCAGTGGTTCTCAAACTCTGTCTTTTTGCTCAAGTGTTTCCTTGGTTGGGGGTGGAGCTTGAAAGTTTGCTTTTGTAACCAGTTTCCAAGTGATGCTGATGTGGGATGTTGTTTTTGGGTGCTATAGGGTCAATCCTGCCTGAAGTAACCCCACGTGAAAGACAGAATTGCTCTGTAGGGCTTGTTTATAATCTTTATTGAAGAAGATTGCCAGATCTTTCTCCCACTAAGCAACTGGTTAGGTTAAAACTGCTGACATCAGGGCTCTGGCTGATGTGTCTGATTAGGACTGTATCTTGATCTGTGCATTTCATTTAATGCTTAAACAGTCTTACTGGATCAATATTGTTATCTCTAATTTATAGATGAAGAAACAGAAACGCTCAAGGTCTCATAGTTAATAAATGGGGAGTAGGATTTCAGTGGCATCACTAGTGGGGCTTGGAAGTATGGACTGGACTGGGTAACACTCAGAGGACACAACACTAAAATAACTAAAATTTTTTGCAGTGTTTCTGCAGAAATTTAGTGTTTTTTATAACATTACTTCTGTAGTTAGTTATAACAACTTAACTTTTTTTTTTGTATACCCAGCTTACATGTATCATAAGCATAGTTTATATGTATCAGTATACCTACAAGTTTACACTCTATGGTAATACTTTTGAATGCACTCATTATTATCCAACTTCAATGATGCCTCAAATCATGTGGTTTCATCTGCATACACTACAAGCTCCTGCTGTTGCGGCTGGTGCTTCTATAGTAGCTGATTTTGTCAAATTTTCTGGTGTTTTAGCTACAATACTGTGATAATAATTGTTTGTGAACCTGTAGCAATAACTTGTATGAGAAAGAAGCAGTAATTAAAGGAAAAGAAGAAAAATCAGAGGCTTCTACTCAGTTACTAAAAATGCTGTAACAATGTTGCGATTCCATGAATAAAGATTTTTATCAACTATATTGTTGTATTCATATAATCAAAGAAATATTATATTTAAGAAATTTACAACTATATCTGTCACCCATTCTGTGATTAAAATTGATAACAAATATTATGAAGGATTCTGTATGGTCTGGTATAGGACGGATGCAAGTATGATTGCTCTAAATTATTCTTTAATATTTATGCTTTTTTCTTTATATTTTTCTGTAGGAAGTATATATTTTTATCGCCAGAAGAAATGTTTTTTTCAAGTTATTTCCATTTCTGCTGAATTGCTTATCTGACGGAATGCTATGACACTGAAGTAATACCAATTTTCACAAAGAAAATATTCTCTCCACTTCACCCCTAAAAACAGATCTAGATACATTTATGCAAAGATGTTGAAACCATCCTGAAAATAATCCCAATATTCTCCTGAGGCTATGCCTCAGAGGTTACTTTAGTGTGTTGAGGTGGTTCTTCCAGAATTATTTTATAGAATATACAAACATTTGAGAGTCCCTGGGTGGCCCAAAAGTTTAGCGGTAGACCGCCAGTCGAAAGGTTGGGGTTTGAACCATTCAGAGGCCCCTCTGAAGACAGGCCTGGCCAACTGCTTCCTAAATTTCACAACCTTGAAAATCTTATGGGAGCAGTTCTACTCTGACAAACTTGGGGATGCCTCGAGTCAGAATCAACACACAATTTATATAAGTTGTGTAAACATAAAATGTATTGTGTCTATATTTACACACAGCATGGCCACATTATATACTGTGTAAGATTCATCTAATTGTGTGTAGTTAATCAAGATTATAATTTCAGAAAACATTTTAAAGGCCTCCGGAGGCCTCATCGCCTTCAACCCCACCAGCCCCGCCCTTTGCCGTCTGCTACGCCCTCTCCACTGGCAGCCCCTCCCGCCGTGAGGGCTCATGGGAAGAGGCGGAGAACAATATGGCGGATGGCGAGGAACCGTAAGTAGTGGGGTTCTGCAGACGTGCCGGGCCGGGCAGGATTGTGAGAGAGCTCGGCGGTGGGCGGCCGCTGCTGCCCGCTGGGGTCCCCTCCCCTCCGCCTGCCCCGTTCCCTCATCCCCCCCACCCCCTCGCGGCGCCCAGTGTATAGCGTGATGCTGACCCTTCTTTTATTCTCTCTTTCTTTTAGGGAGAAGAAAAGAAGGAGAATAGAGGAGCTGCTGGCTGAGAAGTTAGTGCTGCTGGGAGGCCGGGGCCCTCTTCGGGGGCCCCGGCCTCCCCCTCACCCCAGGCCTAGGGGACCAGCCGCAGCGGGCCCGGGGGGCTGGGAGGGGGGTACCTGGAGCGCAGGCTGCGCGGCCTCATCCCCCGACCCCCGTCCCGCAGCCCCGGGGGCCCGGCGGGCCGCTCCTGGTCACTGCAGCAGGTCCTGCAAAGGCCGCGGGGTGCCTGACCTAAAGGTCTTGTGGAAGCACCCTTGTGCCCCCACTTTTCTTCCATCCTAAATTGTTAGCGCTGTGTCTCTCTGAACAGGGAATCTGATTTAAACGCACACCAAATAAAGACACAAAGCTGTTTTGGGCCATTGGTAAACGTTGTTTAATAATCGCAAACTTTCTGTGAGAACTTTATATATCAGATATTGCAACAAACACTTCAATTATTTTTGCAAAACAGTTGGCTCTTAAAGGAGGGTGTTAACTCCAAGCAGCTTATTTTTCCCATTTATCACACACCCTGTTTCTTATCTGATTCTGAGTTTTGTGCAGATGCAACAGATTGAAATAAAGGGTTTTCCAACCTAGCCAGAGCTATGTAATTTTCCCTCCCTACCTGAGAAAGAAAGAAGACTCTTGTAGTAGGTGTGGTGAGTTAGTAATCTCTGTGCCAGTTCCCAGTAGCAGTGCTTTAGAGTCTTTGGCTATCTCCCTCAGAATGTTGAAATTCATTTGTAAAAGTGATAAAATGACAGGCTTAAATGTCACATCTCTTTCCGCCTTTTTCATTTACCTTCCATGTTTGCTTAAATGACAGTTAAAGTTTGACTGCTTACTGTATGCCAAGTAGTATGTACTAAGTCTGTTTTGTGGATTATCTCTATCTTCATAATGACCTTAAGCAGTAGCTACATTCTACCTATGAGATTTTATGGATGTTCAAGAATCTGCTCAAGGTCACAGTACTATTAGTTTTGGAACCAGTCCCAACTCTGACATCATAAACCATGAATTTTATAGCTAGGCAATCCTACTTGGTCCTTTTTTTTTTTTTTTTAATGGAACATGCAAAAGTATTACTAACATACTTGAAGGTAGAAATTGTAAGGCTACAGGAAATTTGAAAATTAAAAATAATCTAATCCAAACGTGAATCTTGCACTGAGTAGAAAGCAAGTGTATTTTGTTAGAGGAGTTCCATCTTAGTTGTATGTTTTCAAAGGTTTCTATATAATGAAGTGTAGGATTGTAACTTAAAGTGTGGTGTTTACTGAGAATAAAATGGCCTCACAGTTTTAAGAGATAGCCTTTTTAAAAATCAAGACCTTTCTTTCTTTTTGAGGAAAATGTATGAAAATTCCTCTCATCAAAATGATGTGTAAATCATACCTTTCAAACTTGGAAAGGGCACATGAGTTATATTAGATTTGAAGCATTGCAGTTTTGAAAGTGGAGCAAGTTCTTTTACCTTATAATTGCTGTGTTGTGATTCAAACCTATGGAAGGACCAGGTTGGGGAAGTTAGCAGTGAACTTTTACCAAATGGGGAGAAGTCCTTCTGTCACAGATGAAACAGTATTCCAAGTTTAATTTTGGGTTGCTTTAAGAACCCAGAAACACATAGCCTGAGTATACCAAACATGAAATAAAATAGAAACAAATGTGTAGTTCTTAACTTTAAATGAAAGCATAAAATAACCACATTGAATATTTCCTTTTTATTTGAGCAGGTCTGGTGTGGTTACCTTTTCATTTGGGGAAGCCATAATAGCTGTAGATGTGGCTTTTTCATACTGATCTTTGCAGCTGAATTTACTGTGTTCTGTGCAGAATGGCTGTTGATGGTGGGTGTGGGGACACTGGAGACTGGGAAGGTCGCTGGAACCATGTAAAGAAGTTCCTCGAGCGATCTGGACCCTTCACACACCCCGATTTCGAACCAAGCACTGAAGTGAGAAACGTTTATTTTAAATAACTCCTCTAATAGTTCTGTGTTTCAAAAATAATAAAATGCTTCCTTCTTAATTTGCTCTTTTTATAAAAATACTAATAAAATTATAGTGAGAAATTAAGTTATCTTGAAATACCAAATTGAATATTTGCTACTAATTTTGTTTGAATGGCTAATGTTTGACTCATTATTCTCACATATTTCATGTAAATAGAAAGTTTGAATTTAAAATTTAAGTTATACTTCATTTAAACTTGCAGTTTAGATAACTGCTGAGATATTCCCCTTTTGTAACCCTGCTGTGAGAGAATAATTTTGACAGGAATATAGATGTGCTTGTTTAAATTTTGAAATTTAGTTGGAATGAGCATCTTTACTTAACAGTGAATCTAATTAATTGCATGTTAAAAATTATGTGAATGCTGTATAATAGAGGCATAGAGTTATGGGCTGATAATATACGACAAAACAAATGCTCAGTTAAATACATCTTTTTTTTTTCTTATAAAAGTATTCTTTAGAGTAAATCTTGATATTCTTTTGTGTTTACGAAGAGACATATATTTAAAATATAAATATCATGGTATTTTTAAAAGTTAAAGTGCAGGCTTTTAGGTTTGGCCCAGTATTTGATCTGAGTAATTTTTCTCTCCTTTAATCCTGTAGTTAACTCTGTATTAATTCAGTATTGATCTTGCCATTCTTCGAATAATCCATCATATTTTCTTGTGCCTGTGAAAATATTTTTGCCTGATAATTTACTATAGTAACTTCTGTTAAATGTTTCAGGTTGTATTTCAGCTGGTATACAGTTTTCCTAAGAGTTTTATCTATTTTTTTTTCCTCCTGACATCTTATGTTTTATAAGTTCAAAGGCAGCTTTTATTGTTTTTACTTTTCTTTTTCTTTTTTTAACTTTTGAACACCTTGTGGAGTGCTTGATCTCACGTTCTAAGATTTTTGAACTTTTCCATTTTTAGAAAGTTAAATAACTGAATTTGAATTTCACCCTTTTTCAAAAATTTAAAAAGGAAGACAACTCTTAAGTTAGGGATGGTTTTTCTTGTAAGAGAATATAGAAATATCCTTTTAATTTTGTAAAATAAAAGTAAATTAAATACATTAAAATTAAAACTCTGGGATTATTAGGATTTTAGAATTTCTTGTTGTAAATTGCAACAGTTTATTAAATATACAATCCTCTTTTAACCCTCAGTTACATTTCTCATGGAAACACTGGAAGCTATTTTATGGCCATTGCTTTATTGATGGTATTAATGGTTTTTATTACCTAGATTTTAATATGACTTTCTATTCTTTACAGTCTCTCCAGTTTTTGTTAGATACATGTAAAGTTCTAGTCATTGGAGCTGGCGGCTTAGGATGTGAGCTGCTGAAAAATCTGGTAATACATATATCTATATATACAAAACATGTATATTTTCTTCTTTCTGATAATGAAACTTTTTTTTTTTTCTGTGATACTAGAAAATTTCTTGTGTTGTTGATCTTTTCTCTTGAGCCTTTGGTAATAAAGTTTAGCTGGTCATATTCCAGAAGGTAATTAAGTGATGTAACTTAGGAACTTTTTAAACTGTCATCTTATCAGCTATAAATGTCATTGATAGAATTTCTTACTTCCATTTTCTTCTCTGCTTTTCACCAAATTTTGTGCTTCTTGAAAAGTGCTCTTTGATTTTAGCAAAGTAAATAAGAAAACTGGTCATATTTTAGCTTACAGTTTTAGAAAATTTATTATTTCCTTTGCTTCTCACACTAATCCAGTTATGTAGGTAGGGCATTGTCCCATTTTATATAGAGGGAGACACTGCAGAGGTATTAAATGACTTGTCCAAGGTTTTCTGTATTATCTTGATGTCCCTGGAATCTAATCCAAGTCATCAGTTCTTAATCAAGTGTTTATTTTCACGATATCACACAACCATCCAGTATACTTGGCTTAATCTGACAGTAATTTTTGATAACATGGTAGTAGACCCAAAGGTTCGGGGAAGCTAATCTCTTTCCTTCCTTCCTTTCTTCCCTCCTTCTCCCTGTCTTCCCCCTAACTCTTAACAGACAAAAGACCTAAAATCTGCCTGAGGGATTAGAGTGTAAGCACAGGTGAAGCCATGTTAAATTTTTTAGAAAACATGAACATAACTTCTAGTGAAACTGCAAAAACTTAATGTGAGCTTTACTGTGCTTAAGGCTGTGCTGGATTCTTTGAAGATTGTAGGTCATAATAATTGCTGTCCCCAAAGGATACGAACTTTTACTGGGGAGACAAGTCTCACTTGAGACAAATAGTGTATGTATGATTTACTCTGTGACAGGGTGTCCAAGTGACAGTGCCTTATCAGACATAATACTCTTATAATGGGAAACTGGGGAGTTCTGGAGGAGAGGAGTTTATGGAGGATGGACAGTGCTTCTTGATAGGCATTATATATGTACACATTGCCTAGTGTTTAACTTTTTTCCACTTTGAAGTTACTATTTGCAAATGTGATATGTTCAAATTTTAAATGTAGAATTATTGATGATTAGATCTGAAGATGAGTCATCAAATAACTTTAGGAGTCAACTTTGTTATTTATTTATTGCATTATATAACCTCTTACACAAAAGAAGGAAACTAAGGGTTTATGATTTTTTCTACTTTTTACTTTGCTCACAAGAAATATATAGGTTGGTTTGTTTATTTTTAAGTCTCAAAGACTCATCCTAAAATAATGTGACATATATATTGATTGAACAAATATTTGTTGAGCTTCTTCCTTTCCGCTCCAATATGCCAGACACCATTCTAGATGCTAAAGATACAGCATTGAACAGTATAGCCAGACGTCTGTGCTTGTGGAGCTTATATTTTAGTAGAAGGAAAAAGACAACCTATATAACATGTCATATGGTAATAAATGCTATGGAGAAAGGAAGGGTGGAAGATAGGTAGTCTGGTGAAAAGGGAAAGGATTTACAAAAAGGTGATACTTGAGCAAAGAGATAAGTGAGACATACAGATACCTGGAGGAAGAACAATCTAAATATAGAGGGAATGTTGTTGTTGTTGTTATGTGCCGTGGAGTCGGCCCCGACTCATAGCGACCCCTCCTTGGGTTTCCGAGGCAGTATCACTACGGAAGTAGGATTGCCCAACCTTCCTTCCGAGGAGCGGCTGGTGGGTTTGAACCGCCAGCCGTCTGGTTAGCAGGCAAGTGTCTTAGCCACTATGCTACCAGAGAGGGAATAGCAGGTGTCAAAGCTGTGAAGGAGGAGCATGCCTGATGTATTCAAGGGCAGCAAAGAGGCCACTATAGCTAAAACAGAAGTGGGTGAGGGGAGCATTTTTGGCAAGGATGTCATCAAAATAAGGGGAGACTGGGGTGGGTTATGTGGACGGGGCTACAAAGGACTTTGGAGGCTACTGTAATAATGCTTTTACTCCGAGCCAAGAAGTCATTGGGAAGATTTAAGCAGATGAATGACATGATCATTGTGGCTGATGTATTGAGAATGGACTAAAGGGAGATCAGAAAAAGAAGCAGAGACCAGTTAAAAGGCTGTTGCAGTCATCCAGGCAAGAGATGATGACAAGGACTTGGAATAGGAAGGTAGCATTGAAAATCTCCAGAAGCAGACAGATTACGGATATATTTTGAAGACGGAGTCAGCAGGATTTGCTAATGGATTACTTGTGTAATATGAGTTGTTGTTGTTGTTGTTATGTGCCACCGAGTCGGCCCCGACTCATAGCGACCCCTCCTTGGGTTTCCGAGGCAGTAGCACTATGGAAGTAGGATTGCCCAACCTTCCTTCCGAGGAGTGGCTGGTGGGTTTGAACCGCCAGCCTTCTGGTTAGCAGGCAAGTGCTTTAGCCACTATGCTACCAGAGGAGAGAAATCAAGGATAATACAGCAAGGTTTTTGCCCTGAAAAATTGGTGGGTATACATTACTTACTGAAATGAGGAAGACTGGGAAAAGAACAGGTTTGGTGGTGGTGGAGGTAGTAAGGGAAGATGGTCAGGAGTTTGATTTTTGAAACTGTTTAGTTCTAGATGTCTGTTAGATGGTGCTTTATGGTATGACATTGAGATCACCTGGAGCCATTAAGAGTAGAAAATAGAGATAGAGAACTTAAGTTATAAAGGGGCACTTTAAATTTTGCCCAGTAAAATAAGAAGAAAACTCCTGAGAGTGGTGAATTAGAAACCAATAGAAAAAGTGTTAACATCTCATGTTTATGATTGAGAGAAGAAAGTATCTTAAGGAGGGAGAAGTGATCAATCTGTCAGCTACCTCAGAAGGATAAAGTCAGATAGACTGAGAATTAGACATTGGATTTAGCAAGATCTGGGTCGTTGGTGATCTTGATTAAGTGCAGTTGTGGTGGAGTGTTGAGGTAAAAGCTTGTGTGGAATAGGCTCAAGAGAGAAATTTGAGAGAGCAAGTATAAACAACTCTTTGGAGGATCTTTTGCTGTAATGAGGGGCATAAAAATGGGGGGGATTAGTGACAAGTTGACTCACTTAAACAGATGACCAAAGACCAGAAAACTTAATTATTATTAATTTTTTAATTTTTATTGTGATTAGGTGAAAGTTTGCAGAGCAAATTCATTTTCCATACAGCATTTCATACACATTTTGTTTCATGACATTGACTGCAATTTCCCACAATGTAACAGCTCTCTTCCCACTTCCTCCCTGTAGTTAACTCTTCCCTGTGTCCTTCTTTCCTATGTGTTCCTGCCCCCTGAGCTGTCTTCGTGTGCAAATACTACCCTTCCGTTTTCCCATGATTGATCATTCTAATGATGCAAATGTTCACCTTATGTGCCTGTGTTTTGTTTAGCTGGAAGCCATGGGAGTGAGTTCAATTCCAGCCCTGAAGAGTAGCTAGGGGCCATAGTCTCAGGGGTCACTTCAGGCTCTTTTAGACCAAAAACCTTGTGTTTTTTTATGATTTTGAGATTTGTTCTCCCACTCTGTCGAGGATCTCCTCTACTGAACCCTTCCTGAGTGGTTGACAGTGGTAGCTGGGCACCCTCTAGTTCTTCTGGTCTCATGGTCATACAGGCTGAGATTTGCATGGCCCACTAGTCTCTTGGACTAATTGTTTCCATACATCTTTGGTTCAGAAAACCATAATTAATTATTGAGACTTATTTTTGAGTCTAGATTGTTGAGTCATTTGCTTCTGTCTGAGTGGTAAATTTTAGCAGTGGTCATACTGTTAGAATGCTTGGCATTATCATTGAAACCCAGCAGTTTATTGCTTTTCCATAGATTTTGTCATTGCTCATTCTTGACTCCTGTGGGAACTCTGGTAGTGTAGTGCCTAAGGCACTTGACTGCTAACTAGAAGGCTGGCGGTTCAAACCCTCTAGCCACTCCTCGGAAGGAAGGTTGGGTAATCTACTTCTGTAGTGATACCGCCTTGGAAACCCAAGGAGGGGTCACTGTGAGTCGGGTCTGACTTGACGGCACACGACAACGACAACAACAACATTTTTGACTCTATACTTTTGAGACATTCCTTTTATATGTGCAGGATACATATGTGTGCCTGTCTTTATAACTACACTCTTCACTTATCGACATGGTTAAACTGCATAGACCAGGTTGTTATGTGAAAATGGAGGATGACTGTGTCATTACATAACTATATCATTACTAATTGCCAAACCACTGAAAGTCATGGCCCAGCCAAGTTGATACATAACCTCAACCATCACAGCCAGCATTACTCTTACCTACCACCTCAGCGTTCTTTACTGCCAGACATATGTTGTTAATGGGGAAAATAGTTGGATAGTAGATTTTTTACAGTTGTCATAAATGCAAAATGTCAGATAACGAGATAGTTGATAAGTGAGGAGTAGGTGTATTATCTCATAATTGTTACCATTTCTGAACTGATATGATGCTTTATGTTACATAAACTAAGGTAAAGCTTGTAGGAATTGTTGTTTAACAATATTCTGAAAAATGAATAGCAAGTACAGTTAATAAGATCAGTAAAATTTTACAAATGTTGTGTCTATGGGATTCTAACACAACTTTATAGAAATTTTGAATTGTTCTCTTTTTGGTTTTAGACTATTTAAAACAATATTTATACTTTTTTTTTGGTAATTTTTTAAGGAACTCTGAATTTTATGTACCTTGCAAGATTATGCAGAATTAGTTACTGAAAATTTATAGTTTTAGCACTACTTGAAAACAAATTTTAAATATTCAAATAAAAGGAAATATCTGTTTAATTAGATTGTTTTTATTCCCACAGGCATTGTCTGGTTTTAGACAGATTCATGTTATAGACATGGACACTATAGATGTTTCCAATCTAAATAGGCAGTTTTTGTTTAGGTAAGTGTTAATCTTAGTTTATTTTCATTCTTACAGTCAGTTGAACTGAAGTACATTTCAGTTTAATAATTTTTTAAAATTACTAAGAAGATAATACTTATTTTATTAAAAGAAAAAAAATACAAAAATAACCTCAGGTTAAATTTTACAAGAAAATTTTGGGCATGCTGATGAAAGTAGTTTTGTAAGCAAATATATGTTTGTTTATTTTTAAGAAAATCATTCCAAAGGTTTGTGTAAATTTGGGATAGCCTCAAGGTGATTATAGTCTGAAGATACCAAGTGAGCTCTTTTTCTCTGGTTGACTTCAAAAGAGAACACTAGCTCTGGAATATTAGGCCCTAGTAAGATACTTTAGTGGAGACTTTTGAATCAAGATTTGAATGGTTACTGTGAGACAGTGTAGTTATGAAAAGAGTTTGGGCATTTTATAGAAGGAGAAAGAAAATGGAAAGTTATGGAGAGAAAAGCCTAGGACCAATTGAAATGGAAAAAACAGGGATAAGTACCTTAGAAATAAATCAAATAGAGACAGCATCTATGACTGGTTTGGTAGAAATGACTTAAAACTGGAAGTAAATCATAAACATAGATTTGAGGAAAGACTCAGTAGAGAATTTTATTAAAAACATTTAAGGTTTTGAGGGGTTTAGATAAGGGTATATTTCAGTCATTCAAAGAATATAAATGTGGAGAGAGACAAGGACTTTTTTTCTCTTTCTAGTGATAAGGGTATTGACCAAAGTACTCAGATTGTCCTGGGTACACAAGTTTGGCTAGCAGAAGATGAAAAGATAGCATAAAATTTTGGGAGAGACAAAACTTCTGTTTTTATCTTTGTGGAAGATCTTAAAAAGACCCAAGGATGGATCAAGTTAAATCAAGTTAATGAATTATAAGTGCAATATGTTTAAGTTTTATTTTTGTTTGTTTTTATTAAACCTTGCGATTTCCCTTTTGCATAGAAAATTTCATGGGACCTTTCTAATTTGGCAAATATTAGTACATGAATACCTTATAAAAGATACCATTGAATTAATTGGTTATTTATAATAGGTCATGCCCTTTAACTGAGCTGAGTTTGTAGCTAAGATAGTGATGATTATAATAATAGGTAACATTAAGTGCTTATGGTTTACTAGGCACTTTTTAAGTTCTTCATATGTGTTACTCCAATCTCCAGAACAATCTTAAGAGTAGGTTCTTGTTCTCAAGACTAAATAATTTGTAAAGGTATACCACAAGGATGATAGGTAGGAAAGGCCATTTTATTCAAGTTATAGTTTGAGGTGGAACAGTCTCTGATCCCTGTTGTTGGGAATGGTAAATCAGCTAAACATCCAGGAGTTCTTTTGTTTGGGATAAAACTATGCAAACACATAACATCTAATATTTAATAGAATCTTGGAAGTTTTCTTCTCTTTCCCCTTTGATACTTAAAGAGCTAAAGAGCTTTCTGTGGCCAAAGAAGTTGAATACAATATTGGAAATCAAATCTCCTGATTACAGCAGAACCTTTTCTATTGTAAGGAGACTTGGTGGCATACCATGGTTAAGCTCTTGGCTGGTAACCCAAGGTTTGCAGTTCAAATTCACCAGCTGCTCTGTGGGAGAACGATGTGGCATTCTGCCTCTGGGAAAATTTACAGCTTTGGAAAACCCTGCGGGGCAGTTCTACTCTGTCTCACAGGGTTACTATGAGTCAGAACTGACTTGACTGCAATGTAAATTAAGACAAGTCAGAATAAAACTCTATATGAAAAGTTTGAATCAACAAATAACACTGGAGAAAAGCAAAATTAACCTTTTAAAGTTTTTTTCTTTGAAATCCTAGTTTTAAATACAATGTAATTTCTAAAAAGCACATTTGATTTTTTCATTTATTTTTTAAAGTATTTACTTTGTGCTGGATGTGAATGAATACAAAGAGAATAAGTATATGGTAACTTTCTTCAAGGTGTTTCAGTGGGTGTGAGATATATATAACGAAAATATGTGGTGAAAAGTAGTAATGAACCCCTTGCTATGGAGACCTGAGGAAGTGATTGATTTCTGTGATGACAGTGAAGAAAGAAAATACCATTTGTACAGAGATTGGGAGAAGAAATTCATGTCCTTTCCTGTCTTTGGTTATTACTAGGAGTGACCTTTTAGGACTTAAATTTCTCACTTTTTGACAATATTGTAACATTTACACTTTTAGATGTCTTTGGAATTACTCTTTTTTGAAAGCATGGTTGTTAGGGCTTTCCAGGGACACAAAATTGACTCCTTCATCACCACATGCTGGAAGAAGGTGATAAATGAAGATTCTTGCCTCCCTAGAAAGAATCGCCTCATGTATATTTCAGCCAAGACCTACATAGTAACACCTTGATGTGCTGAGGTTCAGTGAGGATCATAGGAAAGGTGTGTCTGTATAAAGTGCTCAAAAGATCTTTAATATGAATTGGGGTATTATTTCACTCTGGGAAATACCACAGTGGGAGTGGCCAGGAGACATGCTTTACCTGGGGAAAAAAGAAAAAGCTCTGTTCATATTATCACTTAAGAAATATTTAATTAGACTTTATCACATTGATACTGTTCATTTAGAACATCAGTAAGGGTTACTATTCAGAGTTGATGGAATAACCATTCATCAAAATTTATTTACTGATGTAAAAATACTTCGATAAAAATATTTTTTTGAAACATCCTATGAATAAATTCACCTTGGATTTATTTTTATGTTTGAAAGTAAATTATGTAGATCTTCTTGATCTCTAATATGAATGATAATTTAAATGTAATTTTTCCTGTAGGCCTAAAGATGTTGGAAGACCTAAGGCTGAAGTTGCTGCAGAATTTCTAAATAACAGAATTCCTAATTGCAATGTAGTTCCGTATCCTTTGGACAGAAAAATTACTAAGTTTTTTTAAAGCATTTTTTTTCTTTTAATTTTTTACAAAATAGGTAATAAAAATGTAGAAAAGCAAAAAGAAAAATCAGCAATAGTAAGCTTACTACTGAGATGACTGCTGATAACAGTTTGCTCTATATCCTTGCATTTTTTCTTTGTGCTTATATATTTATTTTACCCTGATTTTAAAATTTATCTTATATAGCCTATGCCATTTTCTACTTGTATTTTGAATTATTGTACCTAATTTCAGAATCAGTTGATACCTCCTGTACAGAATTATAAGTTCCTAGGCTGGATCCAGTTGATCTTCATGTTCCGCAACAGTAGTAGACAGAGTAGACAGACAGTGAATTAGTCAGATGAATGTATGCCAGAGTACTTTTTTTTTTTTTAATAAGAAATGTGCTTTAAAAAAGAATATTCATACATATTTAGATTTAGGGAACTTTGGGTATTTTATAGAAATCTAAAAGCTGGGATTTCTATATTAAAAAAATCACAAGAATCTACAAAAAAAGTCCTAGAACTAATAAGTGAGTTCAGCAAAGCCAGATAGAAGATAGCAAAAAGCAATTGTATCTTTATGTACTATTAATGAACTTTTGGATACAAGTGACAAAAAATGGCAATAACAAAAATACAATGTTGTTTATGATTGCTGGGGGAAAAAAATCCTTACATATAAATTTAACAAAACATATGGGACTTGTAGGCTAAAGAAATACAAAATGCTGATGAAAGTAACTAAAGAAGATTTAAATAAATGGAGAGTGATTCTGTGTTCATGGATTGGAAAGCTTCAACATAGTGAAGATCTCACTTCTCCTTAATCAACATAGTGAAGATGTCACTTCTCCTTAAATTGCTATACAGGTTTAACATAATTCCTATTGAAATTCCAGCAAGAATTTTTGTAGATTTGGGAAAGATTCTAAAATTTATGTAGAAAAGCAAAGGACTACCTAAAACAATTCTGAAAAAGAAGATTAAAGTGGGAAGAATCACTCTTTCCAATTTTAAGACTTACTTACATAGTTAAAGTAATGAAGGCTGTGCTATTGGCAGAGGGATAGACACGGATCAGTTGGACAGAACACAGAACCTGGTAATAGTCCCAACACAAGTGTGGCCAGTTAATTTTTGACGAAAGTGCCAGAGCAAGTTGATGGAAGGACAGTCTCTTCAAAAAGTGATGTTGGAGCAACAGGATATCCATAGGGAAGAAAATGAAACTTGATCTCACACCTTACACAAAATTAACTCAAAGTGGATCATAGATTTAAATGTGAAAGTATAAAACTTAGAACATTTCTGAGATCTTTGACTTGAAGAGTCCTTAAAACCAAACCAAACTCACTACCATTGAGTCAATTCCAACTCATAGTGACCCTTTAGGACAGAGTAGAACTGTACCCTAGGGTTTCCAAGACATATATCTTTCTGGAAGCCAGTAGCCTCATCTTTCTCAAGTGGAGCGGCTGTTGGGTTTGCACTGCCAAACTTTTGGTTAGCAGCTAAGTGCTTTAACCACAGTGCCACAGTAACTCTTTCTTTAGATCACATCAAATCATGATCCATGAAAGACAAAAAGTAAATTGGACTTCATTAAAGTTAAAAAATTTTGCTGTGTGAAAAAGCTACTTAAGAAGACAAGCTATAGACTGGGAGAATATAATATTTAATATATATGAAAGCAGCAATTAAAAAAATCTCTTTTAAAAATGGGCAAGACATGAATAGACATTTCACCAAAGAGGATGGCAAAAAAAGTGCATGAAAAAGTGTTTTAACATCATTGACTTAGGGAAATGTATATTAAGAAATCACCATACGTCTATTAGAATAGCTAAAGTTTAAAACGCAGATCAAATGCTGGTGAGGGTACGGAAATACTGATCACTCATATGTTGCTGCCAGGGATGTAAAAAGGTACAGCTACTCTGGAAAATAGTTTTGACAGTTTCTTAAAAAAAAAACCAAAACATACTTAAGATAATCCTTGAATTGCACTCCTGGCGTTTATCTCAGAGAAATGAGAACATACCTGCACTAAAACCTGTACTTAATTGTTCGTAGCAGCATTATTTGTAATAGCCCCAAACTGCAAATAATTGAAATGTCCCTGAATTGCTCTACTGTGGTGCATCCATACCATAAATACTACTCAGCAAAGCAATACAAACAACAAACTAATGAACCAACTTGGATGAATCTCTAGGATATTATGCCAAGTGAAAAATGCCCATCTTACAAGGTCGTATACTATATGATTCCATTTACATGTTGTTCTTGTTATTTGCCGTCGAGTCGGCCCCGACTCATAGCGACCCCTCCTTGGGTTTCCGAGGCATTATCACTACGGAAGTAGTATTGCCCAACCTTCCTTCCGAGGAGTGGCTGGTGGGTTTGAACCGCCAGCCTTCTGGTTAGCAGTCAAGTGCCTTAGGCACTATGCTACCAGAGCT